TTTGTTTGTTTTGAGACAGGGTTTATCTGTGTGGCTCTGGCTATCCTGGAACTCACTCTGTAGACCAGGTTAAGCTGGCCTCGAACTCATAGAGATTTATCCACCTGCCTCTGCCTCTTGAGTGCTGGAACTAAAGGTGTGCAACACTACCACCCAGCTCAGCATTTTCGTCTTAGGCAAGTCGAAGAACAGAGTATCAGGAGTGGAAATAAGTGAAGAGGGACTCTGGGGTATTGGGAGTTGGGGGAAATAGTGACATCATTGTTGAGTGCTTAGCGTGGGTAAACTAGGTGCAAGGGTGATATGAAGAGGAGATTTGCTGAGCATTTTCCTTTCATTATTTTACAGGAAAGCAGTTTCCACTGGAGTATGTCCAAGCCAGCATCTGGCACCTGGGGAAGTGAAAGTTTGAACATATTGCACGTGAAATATAAATACAATTTGGAGAATTGTTGGTGCAGTGTGCCTTGGTGAGAAGCCAAAGCTTGCAGCTGCCTTTCAAAGGGGTGTGGAAGGAGGGGATTTGCAATGGAAATTATTCCAAACTCATAATTCCAGAAGGTGTTTGTTTTGAAAAGCTCAACAAGATTCACTTGGATTCCTGTGAAGAATTAGCCAATGTCCTTTGGCCTGGGGGGGAAGAGTCATTGTCTTCTGTATTGGGTATAAGAGACACACTTATAGAAGCTGTCCCTGCCAGGATTCAACTAATTATGTTACACAAATTTTAAATTTTGAATTAAAGAACCACAACATGCCTGATTTTGTAAGGGATGTATTCTAGTTTCTTTTGAAAAATTACAGTTGGAGGCATTCAAAATACAACAGAACAAATATGTTTGCCACTTTAAGATTCATAAATCAAAAACAAGATTCGGAAATCTTCAAAGCCTCATGAGGGGTAGCTTAGTGCTAGAGTAGCTGCATAGCATGCTAGAGAACCTAAGTTCAATTGCCTAGTCCTACAACAATAAGATTCATAAATCAGGGCTGGCAAGATGCCTCAACAGGTAATGGTGTTTGCCATGTGCCTTAGTTAGGATTTCTGTTGCTGTGAGAAAACACCATGACCAAAAGCAATTGGAGGGGAAAGGGTTTATTCTCTATACACTTCCACACATGACAGTCCATCATCAAATGAATTCAGAACAAGAACTCAGACAGGACAGGAACCTGGAGGCAGAAGCTGATGTAGAGGCCATGAAGGATGCTGTTTCCTGGTTTGCTCCTGATGCTTTCTCAGCCTGCCTTTTTACAGCACCTGGACCATCCCAGAGGTGGCTCCACCTACAATAGGCTGGCCCTCTCACATCAATCACTAATTAAGAAAATGCACTACAGACTTGCCTACAGACCAGTTTTATGGAGGCATTTTTTCACAGTTGAGAGTCCCTCTTCCCAAATGACTCTAGTGTATATCAAGTTGACATAAAACTAGCCAGCACACCATGCAAGCCTAGACACATGAGTTTGGTCCTTGGAAAGAGAGAACTGATATTGCAAAGTTGCCTTTTTGCTGTGGGATAATCTTTCTGTATGCTGTGAATAAATGTTGCTCTCATTGGTTGATAATAAAAACTGCTTTGGCCTATATAGCAAGGCAGAATATAGCTAGGCTGGAAAGCCAAACTGAATACAGGGAGAAAGAAGGGTGGAGTCAGGAGAGATGCAAGCCAGCAGCCCAAGAGACAAGATGCCAGAAGACTGTTAGCCACGACCATGTGGCAATACATGGATTAATAGAGATGGGTTAATTTAAATGTACCAGCTAATGAGTAATAAGCCTGAACTGTAGGACAAACGCTTTGTAATTACTATTAGGACCCTGAGTGGTTATTCAGAAGTGGCTGCGGGACAGGGCGGGACAGAGAAGCCTCTGCTTACCTCTGACTTTCACATGCATACCTGTACTCACACACACATCATGCATACACCTATACATACGTAAACACACACAAAATTTGGGGGCTGGAGAGATGACTAAGCAGTTAAGAGTACTTGCTGCTCTTCTAAGGGACTCAAATTCAATTTCCATACCTCATATGATGGCTCATAACTGTCTATAACTCCATTTCCAAAGGATCTGGTGCCCTCTTCTGGCCTCCTGAGTACCAGGCACATAGGTGGTACACAGATATACATACAAGCAAAACAACCATACACATAAAATACTTTTTGAAAATTAAAGATCCTACCAGGCAGTAGTGTTGTAACCTTTAACCCCAGCACTCAGGAGACAAAAGCAGGCAAATCTCTGAATTTGAGGCCAGCCTGGTCTACAGAATGAGTTCCAGGGCAGCCAGGACTACATAGAGAAACCTGTCTTGGAAAAAATAAAAGAAAATTAAACATCCATAAATCATCATGGTGGCACATACCTATAATCCCAGCATTTAGGAGGCTAAGGCAGGAGGATCCTGAGTTCAAGGCCAGCAAGATCTTGTTTCAAAAAAATAATTTTTCCCCTCAAGACAACATTTCGCTGCATAGCTCTGGCTGTCCCAGAGTTTGCTTTATAAAGAAGGCTGACCTTGAACTCACATAGATCCACCTGCCTCTGCCTCCAGAGTACTGGGACTAAACATGTGTGCCACCCAAAACACCCTGCTCAAAAATTTTTTTAGATGTCTCAAAAAGGGGGGGGGGAGGGAAGGAAGGAAGAAAGAAAGAAAGGTGTAATTCATCCAGATGGGCAACAGGAAGTGTACATACGGGAGTGTGTGTGTGTGTGTGTGTGTGTGTGTGTGTGTGAAGGAAGTTCTAGCTTAGCCCACCTATAGCTCCCAGTTACTCTTTGGTGTCAAAGGACATTAGTCAAAGCACCTTAAGTGAAAAGTTATCCATCCAGGAGCTGGAGAGATGGCTCAGCAATTGAAAGCATGGCTACTCTTCCAGAGGACCTGGGTTCAATTCCTAGGACCCATAGGGCAGCTCACAACCACCTATATAACTCCTGTTCCAGGAGATCTGGTGCCCTCTTCTGGCCTCCGAGGTACTGCATGCACTTGGTGCACAGACGTGCATTCAAGTAAACACATACAGGCATAAATCTAAATGAAATAAATCTAAAAATAAAGTCACTGTCTACAACAAGTCAGCGAGCTAAGCAGCACCTGCTGGCACATACCTTCTACCAGCCAGAGGACTTTGAAACTCTCCATTGTTACCATAGTCTATGCAACCCACACCCACATGCAATGCTCTGCCCTCAGCTTGGACTCTGTCTCTGTCTCTGTCTCTGTCTCTGTCTCTGTCTCTCTCTCTCCCTTGCCTCCCCCTTTTAAAGCATGAACTCGATCTGTAGACCAGGCTGTCCTCAAACTCCGAACTCACAGATCCATCTGCTTCTGCCTCCTGAGTGCTGGGATTAAGGGCTTGGACTTTCCCATTTCATCCTAACTTGAGCAGTTTCTTTTCCTCCTCAGCTCCAGCAGCAGACAGCACCCAAGAGAGCTGCAGACCAGCTAGAGTTCTTACAGACACCGGAGAAGACATAATTAGGCTTTCTTCTAATTCAGCACATGACCCCTGAGCTGTTTTCTTGAGTCTTCTGACAGAGGAGTTATCAGCTCAGTGTCACAATCTCCCCTGTAAATCTAACTCATCTCTAACTTTCTTTTTTTTTTTTTTTTTTTTTTTTTTTTTTTTTGGTTTTTCCAGACAGGGTTTCTCTGTATTGTTTTGGAGGCGTCCTGGAACTGGCTTGGTAGACCAGGCTGGTCTCGAACTCACAGAGATCCGCCTGCCTCTGCCTCCCGAGTGCTGGGATTAAAGGCATGCACCACCGCCAACTGGCTCATCTCTAACTTTCACTGGTTCACTCTGATCCATGGTGATAAGAGCCTAACCTCTATCCTTGTGACCATCAGATGAAACCTATACCACTGTTGGATGGTGATGGGAGAAGGAGATAGCAGATCAGTCTAACCGCTCCCCATCTATAATCTTGGCTAAGGGTAGTTCTTCCTTGGTCCATAGGGAGTTTCTCCATCTGATGGCTCCTGGTGGCTTGATTCTCCCTGACCCTTCCTTTGGGATTTTACTGTTGTGCTTTAAATGGATTGCCGGGTTGGCATTTTATTTTATTTTATTTTTTTTAATGCTTGGGGTTGAACCCATGGCCCAGGCATGATAGGTAAGGGCTCTACTCCTGGATTATCTCTTTAGAACATTTTCTGTTTCCCAAGTCCTGCTATCCTGGGAGATTGCCTCAATTCCTCTTGGATTCAACTTTGACTCCTCTCTCTCTCTCTCTCTCTCTCTCTCTCTCTCTCTTTCTTTCTTTTTCCTTCCTTCCCTTTTTTTTAAGGCAGGGTTTCTCTGTGTAATAGTCCTGGTTGTCCTACTCACTCTGTAGACCAGGCTGGCCTCAAACTCAGAGATCTACCTGCCTCTGCTGAGATTACATGAGCCACCACCGCCCAACTCATTTATTGGCCCTTCTTTCTCCTCAAAGGCTTAACTATATAATAAAATGTCTATTGAACATCTTCACGCCATGTTTCAACATTTACTTATTACCATTATTTGATCTTAGAATACCAATCAGCCTGTAGTCCTAGCTGACTGAGGTAGCATGATCACTGTTGCTTGGTGGGGCAACAAAGCGGGCACGCACGCCTTCTGCTGGACACTCCACAAACTGCAGCCCAGCAAGAGCCGGGCCTGCCTTGGTTTGCTTCTCAGAACGTCTGAGGAAGCCACAGGGCGAGCGAGCGCACAGCTTTCTGGGAAATGTAGTTAGACGTTTAAGTGTAGTCCCGGCACGCACTACACTGGAGCTTCCTAGTTGAGGGGGTGTTCTGGAGACCCCGAATCTTGTTTGTCAGTGCGTTTAGCAATGCCTTACAAACTTGACTTAGTGTTTACAGGAGACTTTGGGGAAACACTATAGCTATCTTGATGCTGGTGCACAGGCCGACTTTCGCTTCTGAAGCTTCCTCATTGTGGCGAATCTGCCGCTGTGGCACGATGGCTAGACACCTAGGGAAGCTTGTGGAATCGGCTGTGGGAAGTAGGACGCTAAAGGTTCTGGGTCCCTTACGATCATGGCGGCGACTTCTCGCAGTGCTGGGACTTCAGCTCCGGAGTCGGCGACTTCTGCCGAAGCTCCGCTGCAATACAGCCTTCTTCTACAGTACCTGGTGGGCGACAAACGTCAGCCCCGGCTCCTGGAGCCTGGCATCCTGGGCGGGATCCCGAGTCCCTCCAAGAGCGAGGAGCAGAAGATGATCGAGAGGGCGATGGAAAGTTGCGCCTTCAAGGCTGTGCTAGCCTGCGTGGGAGGTGAGGCGAGGCTCGTGGGACCCTTGGGAGGCTGAGGACTTGGAGGGCCTTGGGGTTCCTTGCTAAGACCACGCGCCTGGCAGACGAAGGACCTGTGGGTCTCGACCTTGATTGCACCCCGACTGGCTCAATGAACCCAAAGATGCCGCTCTTGATCCTTGGGTTAACATTCATAGTTGGGAGTTAGAGCGAAGACTCAGAACTACGGTCAGGGCCTGCAGATTGTTAAGTAGATGCTTTCGTTCATTCATTTATTCGTTCAAAAACTAAGCAACTGTCGTGTGCCAGGCAGTGGAAATGTGAATGAAAGTGACAAGAGCCCTGATAGAGAATTTCTAGGACCCGGGCAGACGAGTGCTGTAGACACATAGGGAATTGCAAATGCAAAGGTTCTGAAGTCAGGGAAATTTGAGGTTAATTCCAGCACTCGGGAGGCAGAGGCAGATGGATCTCTGTGAGTTCGAAGCCAGTCTGGTCTACAGAGTGAGTTCCAGTACAGCCTGCTTTACATAGAGAGACCCTATCTTGAAAAAGAAAAGAAAAACTATGAAGGCCAGTGTAATTAGGTAGTCGGGGTGGGGTAGGATGGGACATAAAAACAAACACACTTCCAGTGTCTGGGTAAAAAGGTTGACTGTGAGCTGGGCAGTGGTGGCGCACGCCTTTAATCCCAGCACTTGGGAGGCAGAGGCAGGCGGATCTCTGTGAGTTCGAGGCCGGGCTGGACCGACAGCCTCCAAAACAGAGAAACCCTGTCTCGTAAAAACCAAAAAAAAAAAAAAAAAGGTTGACTGTGTTTGTGGATGAGTTTAAATTTCATTGGGAATGAAAAACATTTATGAAATTCAAATAGCAGGAGTTCAAGTCTTAAAAATTGGGGATGAAGAGACAGATCTGAGTTCCAGGCCAACCTGGTTTGTATAGTGAATTTCAGGACAGCCAGAGTTACATTATAGAGACACTGCCTTAATGTAGTAGAAAGAAGAGAGAGCTTTGGACCTGGAGTAATTGGAAAGCAAGATGCTTTTGGGAGGGGAGGTAGTGTCCAGTTTCATTCAAATTACATGGATCTTGAGGTGAGAAGACATCTATACAGAAATGGCTAGAGACAAAGCCCAGTTGATAACATGCTTGTCATGCAAGCTTGAAGACCCGAGTTCAATACCCAGCATTCTGTAAAAAGTCAGGCATGGCTGGGTAAGGTGGCCCACGCCTCTAATCCCAGCACTAGAGAGGCAGATGGATCTGAGTTTGAGGCCAGCCTGGTCTACATAGCAAGCTCCAGGACAGTCTACACAGACAGATTATATAGGCTCTGTCTCAGATAGACAGACAGACAAATAGATAAATGTCAGTTATGCCTGAAAATGACTTGTAATCCCATTACTGGGAAAACGCAGGCAGATCCTTGGGCTCAGTTACCAGCCGGCCTAGTCTAATCAGTTAGCTCTAAGTCCATTGAGAGACCCTCTTTAAAAAAGAGAAAGATGGCCGGGAGTAGTGGCACCTTATTTTTTTTTTTTTTTTTTTTTTTTTTTTGGTTTTTTCGAGACAGGGTTTCTCTGTGGCTTTGGAAGCTGTCCTGGAACTAGCTCTGTAGACCAGGCTGGCTTCAAACTCGCAGAGATCCGCCTGCCTCTGCCTCCCAAGTGCTGGGATTAAAGGCGTGCGCCACCAACGTCCGGCTTTTTTTTTTTTTTTTTTTTTTTTAGTGGCACCTTATTTTAACCCCAGCACTCCAAAGACAGGCAGGTGGAGCTCTCTGAGTTTGAGGCTAGCCTGGTCTACAGAGCAAGTTCTGGGACTGCTAGGGCTGTTACACAGAGAAACCCTGTCTTGAAAAAAAAAAAAAAAGACAACAACAAAAGAAACAGGTGGATGTTCCTGAGGAGTGACACCCCAGGTTTGAACTCTGACCTATACCCACATACACACTAAGAAATGTTCAAGGTTTAGACAAGTCATTTGTTGACAGCAGCCTAGGATTTCCCACATAATAGCCATGCAACTTTGGACACAGTTACTTAACTTCTCTGAGCTTTGGTTTAGAGAGGACATCTGGGTGGTAGTGGCACACACTGTTAATCGAAGCACTTGGGAGGTAGAGGCAGGTGGATCTCTTGAGTTTGAGCTAGCCTGTTTGTTCTACAATAGCAAGTTCCAGGCCAGTTAGGACTACATATTGGGTAAAGCCACAAGTTATTGTGAAAACTAGAGTATTTCAGAATATATGGTAATGCCTATCAAGAGACTGTTATGGATATTGGCATGGTTAAGGGAATGATATACAAAGTTGATGAGAACTTGAGGGTGGCTGGTCTGCAGAGAACAAAGCTCAAAGGCTGTGAAATGAAAGGAAGAAATCTTAGGAGAGTCAGGGGGGGATAGACTCTGTGACTGGAGGAAGCAGGATTGAGATTGAGTAGCAAGAGACCAGAAGGATCATCTTCAAGTATCATCCCCAAAATGGTAGTCCAGAATGTGCAAAAGAACTTTTATCTCTGCTTGCTTCTAGGATTTGTCTTGGGAGGTGCCTTTGGTATCTTTACTGCAGGCATTGATACCAATGTAGGCTTTGACCCTAAGGACCCTTACCGGACACCAACTGCAAAAGAAGTTCTGAAAGACATGGGACAAAGAGGAATGTCCTACGCCAAAAATTTTGCCATTGTGGGCGCAATGTTTTCGTGTACTGAGTGTTTGGTAGAATCTGTAAGTGCCTCTTGCTTTTAAGAAATCCCTTTCTGGCCGGGCGGTGGTGGCGCACGCCTTTAATCCCAGCACTCGGGAGGCAGAGGCAGGCGGATCTCTGTGAGTTCGAGGCTTGGCTGCCAACAGCCTCCAAAACAATACAGAGAAACTCTGTCTCGTAAAACCAAAAAAAAAAAAAAAAGAAATCCCTGTCTGTTGCCATTGCATGTCTCCCCCATCCCCCTTTTTTGTGAGTTTTTCAAGACAGGGTTTCTCTATGTAGCACTGGCTGTCCTGGAACTAGCTCTGTAGATCAGGCTGGCCTCCAACTCAGAGATCCACCTGCCACTGACTCCTGAGTGCAAGGATTAAAGGTGTGAGCCACCACTACCTGGGTCCCCCTCCCCCCCTTTCAAAATCAATCATCTTTAAAAAAAATATACATTAAGACCAGGTGGTGATGGCCCATGCCTTAATCCCAGCACTTGGGAGGCAGAGGCAGGTGGAATGTCTGTGAGTTCAAAGCTAGCCAGAACAGCTAGGGCTGTTACACAGAGAAACCCTGTCTCGAAAAAAGAAACAATATGTGTATACACATACACATTAAAATTTTTGTGTGTCTTGAGTGTTTTGCCTTTATGTATGTATGTGCACCATGTGAGTACCTGGTGCTTGAGGAGACCAGAGGAAGGTATTTAATCCCTTGGGACTGGATTTAGGCTGTTGTTAACTGCTATTTGGGTTCTGAGAACCGAGCCTGGGTCTTTCTGGAAGAGCAGCCAGTGCTCTTAACCGATGAGCCATCAGCCCCCATTACACAACTTTTAAAAGAGCAGTGTTCTTAGTGTTCTTTCTGGAATGCAAACTAGAAATGTCAGGCCTTAGTCAGATGTGGTCTGTGTTTGCAACTTCAGCCCAAAGGAGCTGAAGGAGAGGAGCTTGAGATCTGGGCCATCCTGGGCTACATAGGAGAACTTTGCCTTAAAACACACATTTTAAAATGTCACATTTTGGTCTAGATTAGTCCCTAATGTGAACTCTGTACACATTTATAATATGGGGTTTGCTTTTTTTTTTTCCTATAAGGAAAAGTGATTTTTTTTTTCTTATTTGGTGCTGGGGATTGAACTTGGGGCTTTATGCATAGAGGATGTGCCCTACTACTGGGTCACATCTCCCACCCAGGTAATTGTAGTTAATGATTTAAAATTATACTGGAGCAAATAAGACATTTGGATTATTTCCCAAATGCTAGACTTAACTTCAGCCCTCTGGTGCCACCTGCAGGACACACGTATAAGCACATACAAATTTTCAGAACTTCCCTTTTGAAGTAAGGGTTTCTTTCCTCTGAGTAGGACTAAACTAGGCAGCTGGAAGCTCTGTGTTTTCTTCCCGAGTCGTCCTGCTGGCTCATTTCCCTGGCTCTAAACAGCATTTCTCTACCCACAGTACCGGGGAAAGTCAGACTGGAAGAACAGTGTCATCAGCGGCTGCATTACTGGAGGAGCCATTGGTTTCAGAGGTTAGTAAACCACTCTCAGACAGAGTGCTTTTCTTTTGTGGTCCAGGACAAAGTGCTGATGTTGACATTTCCCAACATGAGTGTTCTAAGGATGCTTGATAGTCTTCCCTCTGACAAATAAATCCTGGCTGCTTCTGTGTTGATGCAGCCCTGGAAACTTGCTTATATCCATCTGTGTTAGGCTTTTTCATCCTTGGCACTCTAGAGATTTTGGACCAGTTAAAATCTTTTCTTTCTTTTTAAAAACTACTTATTTTATTTGTGTGGGTGTTTTGCCTACATGTATATGTTTGTGTACCACATGTGTGCCTGGTGCCAGAGGAGGGCATCATGTCTCCTGGACTACAGATACTTGTGAGTCATGTGGCTGGTGGAAACCAGACTTGGTTGTCTACAAGAGGAACAAGTGCTCTTTTTTAACTGCTGAGCCATCTCTCCAGCCCCTAGGTAAATCTTTGTTGAGGTCTGCAATGGGATCATGTACATTGTAGGCTCTTTGGCCAGATGCTCATATTTTTAGGATGGGACAACTGAAAGCATCTCCTGCTGTTGTCAAAAGCCATCTGAGGGTGGGAAAATTACCCATAATTAACCATAGAGGTAGATTTTGCCTAGGAAAAAGAGCTTCTATATTGAATGTGTGAGATGATGTTCTCGTGGTAAGTAGTTGGCACATGGGATAGTGCAGAACCCTAGCTAAGTCACTCAAGCCCTGAGCGGTCCACACCTGCAGGCTGTGCTGAGATTCATTTCCTGACTTTTCAAGTTTCTGATCATTTTTCCCCCTTATTTTATATGGTTGTCAGGGTTTTGTTTGTTTTACAGTCTGGGAACCAGACCCAGGTCCTTGTAAACACTAAGCATGAGTTTAGTACTGAGCTACAGCCCCAGCCCCAGTGGTCGGTTTTAATTTTTGAATATAGATTTTAGTAGCTGTTGTCTTTCTTTCTGTAGTTGGGGACTCTTAGATTTCTACTAATTGAAAGCTGAGTGCATACTAGGCATGAATGATACGTGCATGTAAGCCTACCACTCAGAGGAGTCAAAGAATCAAGGGGGCTGATTGGAGACATGGCTCGGCTCAGAGTATATACTATTCTTGTAGAGTTCCATTCCCCACACCCTCACAGTTACCTGCAACTGTAGCTTCAAAGGATTTGACACCCTCTTCCAGTCTCCTCAGGCACCCACGTACACATGGCATTCACTCTCATATACACACACGTAAAAAGTACATTTAAAACACAAGGGGGACAGGGAAGGACAGAGGAAAGCTAAGTGCAGACATCCTCAAAACGTTAGGTTATTGGCTAGAAAGAAGCCAGCCCTCACCTCCTTCCTGTTGCAGTGTGGAGCATTGGCCTCAAGGATTTGAACTCTGTTAGAAGCAGCATGTATCACTGGGCTGCTCTCCATCACACACAGTCTGACTTAACCCAAGCAGAAGCTTCTCGTCTTCCGAGAGCCAGTGATCCGCCGTCATTAAAGCTGCACGGGCTCCTCACTGCCATATGTGGTTAGCAGAGCGACTTCTCTTTTGGTCTTTCTATAGTGTAGCTTTTTCAGGGCTGTGAGCTCAGCTCCCCCCAGGGTTGCTTTGATCACCTTCCCAGGAATTTATTCCATAAACAGATCAGGGTATAAGGCCATATGCTTTCATTTGATTCCAAGGGCCTCTTCCCTTATCCGGTTCTTGACTATGAGGGGCTAGTTCCATACAACTGGAAACAGTAATTGTTTGGAATTAGAAGAGCTAGACAAATGTATAGTTAAATGAAGCTCCATGGTTTGGATGGGATATGTTGATTCATTGAAATCTTAATGAGGCACTATGAGTTTGAATGACTGAACATGTTTGAATTGGTTTCTTTGCATCTGTGGTGCAAACTTTTGTAAGTATAGTCCAGTCTAGCACCTGTTACTATGGTAATACTGCTTATGTTTGCTTTGCAGCTGGTGTAAAGGCTGGGGCCATAGGTTGTGGAGGGTTTGCTGCTTTCTCTGCTGCAATCGATTATTACCTACGGTGAAAGAAATGGCCTGAAAGGAAGGAGGATGCCTGCCACCTTCAGAGCTGTTCTTTGGAGCACTTTCTACACACTTGGCATTGCTTCAGGGGCGAAGCCAATTGTCTCCCTCTTGGTGGTATGAGGGAACTACCTCATCGTTCTCTGCCTCCAGCCACTGGAGCAGCCATACTTTTCTGCTTCTGAATTCCAACCAGGTTTTTCAGGGTAGATTGTATGCCTCCTTGCAGTAAAAAGACCAGGAGGCAGTGTGTTGACTGTTAAGAATTGAGCTCAACCCAGGCTCAGTCCTGACCTCAATTCGCTCTCCAGCTGTGACCAGGGAGGTGGCAGTATGTTTGCCCATAGCCAGGAAGTTCTTCTGCCTTGAAACTCTGTGCAAGCATTCATCTTGAGTACCAGGGCAGGGCAAAGTAAACTTAGGCCATCCAGGAAAGCATGTCATTTCAGTTCGTATCTTTGCTATCCTTGTTAAAATATGTCTACAGGGGGCTGGTGAGATGGCTTAATGGTCCCAGGTTTTGTTCCCAGCACCACATTGTGGTTCACAACAGTCTAGTTCCAAGGATCCAAGGTCCTTTTCTGACCCCCGAGGGCACCAGACACCTCTACATAGATATACACTCAAGCAAAATATCCAGTTTTGTTTTTCTTTTTTAAAGAATATATGTACTGTTACAGTTATTTTTCAGATTTCACATCTCCCATACATGAGGCCAGGTAGCCCAAAGAGTGACAGCTCAATGGAAAGCTTCTAAAGAATTCTGGGAATTCTAGTCTCAGGGTTTGTGGAAACTGTACCTTTGTCACCATTCTGTCAGCCATGGGCGGGCTGATGGTCATGCACGCAGCTTGTGAGCCAGTGGTCTCAGGCCCCAGCCCTGTTTAAAGATACATGAGTATCTTGCTCTGGTTATCCTGCCAGCCCAGATCAAATGTGGAAGGCCTGCTCACCACCACCCTTGTTCTCCATTAAGTTTTTCTTTGGCTTTAGTTTTTTATTTCAACACTTGGGTCCAGTTATACCATGGCAGAAAACCAGCCTTTTATGTTTGGGCTGTGCCACTGAACTGCTTCACTGCAGTGTGTGGTGAAGAAGGAATAATGGACTCAGTCCTACCCTACTGTCAGCTGTGCAGGAGGCTCGGCAAAGGCCTGTAACTGGCTGCCTTCAGCCAGCATCCAGTCCTTTTTCCCTGCTGTATACTAACCCTTCTGTGAGTCCAACTTCACCATGAGTCATTTGAGTGTGTATATGTATGTGAGTGATGATATAAAATCCAGAGTAGCACCTTTTTGCTGCTTCCTTGGAATGGTATAAGTTAGTGCACAGGGATACTCTCTGCTGAATCCTTTCATCCATCCATTTTGCTAAGGAAAGAGTCCAAGGCTTAGCAAAGGCTTTTAATCCCAGCACTTGGCAGACAGGCAGGCGGATCTCTTGAGTTTAAGACCAGCCTGGTCTACAGAGAGAATTTCAGGACAGCCAGAGCTACATAATGAGACTCTTGTCTGGAAAAATGAAAAAGAAAATACCCAAAGCTTCATACATGCTAGGCAAGTACTCTTATTAGTGAACCCCCAGTAAATTAATTCTGTATGATGCCTGCCCTGTTTTCATAAGCACAAGGCTTCATTACTGAAAGACCAATTAGAGCATAGAGGAGTGTTTCCAATACTACCCATAAATTCCTCATTTAGGAACACTTTGAAGCAAGGATGGTTTCTACCTGGTACCTGTCAAAGTGCTCAAGTGCCTAAGGTCATTGACCAGTTGGTCTTCCACATGAGCCCCAGTACAAGAAATGTTGCCCTCACGACTGTCTTGGTAAAGAGGAGCCTCCAGGCTGTCAGTAGATACCAGTTGAACAAGCCAAGCCTTGTCCACGTAGACTATTCAATCAAGAGATGAATAGCTTCCTGTTTTAGGTGGCTGGGGGGCGGTGGTCAGTATGAGCTCATAAACCAAACAGTAATTTGCAGACACATCTGTTCCTGATCTTTGGAGTAAACAGTGTCCAATGGCTTTAGCTGGTGGAAGTCCCACACAAACCCTACTAGTTCTCCCAAGGGGGGTGGGGGAGCGGTGGGCTCTTGTTGGGGGATGTAGGTCTCTAACAAGCAAATTCAATCAAAGGCTGCCATAAAAGACATACCAATTTTGAGGAAAACAGATAAGTTTGTGGATAGCTATGGGCCACCTTTGCCATCTTTCCAAGGCACACTGATGATCAGGTCCATAGAAGTATCCCATGAAGGAAACGACAGCAGCGATGACTTGGATATGTGGATAGAGTGAGAAGAGGGCTCCCCCACCCCCACCTGCCACAGTCCCCAGAAGTCAGAAGAGAGGGTCAAGGATAGACGGATAAACAGGTTCCTGCAAACATCTGGGTGCAGCTGGGAGGACTTAAAATATTTAGGTTGGTGATCTTCCCTGACTACTGAGAATACAAACATCCACACCACAGGCTGTTTTGTGCAAACGTTGGGGCTTTGCATTTTTTTATTAACATTTCCCTCTCACGTGGTTTACATCAATTTATAATAATCTACATTAAGTTTAAACAGAACAGAGACAAAAAAAAATATATCCATACCAAGTTATTAGGGGGTCCCATCCTACCTTGTCAGCAAAAGCTGGCAGCCCTCATCCACTGCCCAAGCAAGTACAGGCATGCCTGGGACTCCTGGACCCTGTCTCCCGGTGCCCTGCTGGCAGTGATGGGGTTCTGGGCAGCATGGCCCCTGTCGCAGGAGAAACACCAGATACTTCCTTGGTGCACCTCAATTGAGGTCTGGCGCCTGACTCGCCCCACTTGGGGTGGGTTTATAAATAATAGGAACCTTTAATAATTCTCAGCTCCTCCCCCAGCCTTCCTGCTGTCACACTGTCTAAGCAACCTGGGGACTGCAGTAGCTAGTGCCCAGAAGCCAACATTCCTTGTTTCAAAGAGACAGGAGGCACTGTTTTGATGGGCTCTGATAATCTGTTACTGTCAATTCTTTGGAAGCAAGAATGCCACATACCACCACCTGAGTGCCAAGATAGTCTAAATGATGTAACCTCTATACTCACTTTTTCTTTCACCTGTTTGAGACAGCAAGGTTCCTTGTTAAACTGCTAACAGACAACTGGGAAGTTGGCATTCCTTTCTCCAGTGTGCACAAAACTGTACCATTCTGTTAAAGACAACAGGGATGAACAGGACCCAAAAGAGCTCTGCCTCTCACCTAGCAGACACAACAGCTTGGGGGCCAGCAAACCCATCTTTAGACTTAGCCCTGAGCACACACAATGAGAGCTGGTCTCCCCAATCCTGAGGGCCAAGAATCAACTCTGCCACATAGAAGATACAGGTAGCGCAAGCCCCTCTGACAGGAGCACCTTTCCCTGCTATAATTGCCACAGGCTGGTAGTTGCTCCTCAAACTGGAAATGGTGCTTTGGGAATAAATCTCTTTCTAGTAACAAGCAACAGGTTGCAGAACTGGGAGTGACACCCACCGACCCTGTTGTCTGGAGCCCCAGCAAAACACACAAGGGAGGCAGCCTGTCCCCAGCTGCTAGAATATTTGGAGTAACCACAGGGCTGGATTTAGAAGCTGGGGCAGTGCCAAGGCAGGACCATTCCAGTTGGGCTGTGCCTTCTATTCCTAGGCTCTGGAGCATGCATGGCAATGTGGCTGCCCCGTGGCAGTGCTTGGCTGTTGAGAGTGTAAAATCTAAGGCAAAAGTACCACGAGGTATATGAGGTTCCAGGTTCCAGGACAGAGCCTGTTTTCATCTGGACACCTGATTCAGCCACAGAATTTGCCCTCCAGGGGGTCATGCTCCACTGGGATAGCCTCGCAGGTCTTTACTGCCTGCCTGCTCCATCCATCTTGTTCCTTCACAGCCTGGGCGCCCACCACACCCTCAGGTGCATTCCTGACCTCTCTTGATAGCAGGACACTTGAGTCATTACACTCAAAACAACACAAGGGGAAAGGGAACAGAAAATTTAGCAGTAGAAGAAACAGTTGAAAATGCCTCATGGTAGGCCAGAGATAAACAGACAAACCCCAGAAAGGGTAATTCTCAAATAGAACATTCCAGAAATCAGCTCTCCAGCTCTGTGCTAAGCTGAGGATTAGTGTGTGTCTGTCTCCTTATTCAACATTTGCACAGACAGCAAGGAAAGCAGGTGTGCTTCCACAGGTGGAGAGCGATGAGGCCAAGGGCGGCACGCAGCACATCAGACGGGCCACCACTGCCCAGGGCCTCTGCAGAACTTTCTAATGATGGAGCAAAACCCCATGCTGCACATGCATGCAGCAGGCTGGGAAGATGGAGAGGGCAGAGACTGCAGGGAACCTGCAATCTGGGAGCAGGGCCAGGAGAGGAGAAGCTGGCAGCAGTTACACAGTACAAAATAAAAGTTCCCAGACTAGACGCAGGCAGAAAGAAAGAGTTGGAATAAATGAAAGAACAAAGCAGGCTGTCTGTGCCCACACCAGCTCGGCCACTACCTTTTCTGCATGACAAATACACATAAAACAATTCTCGGACAGCAAGGAGCATCAGACACACGCAAAGGTACAGAGGGTGGGAGCTGGGGTGTGGCGAGGAGGCGGGGCCGGTCAGCTGGCTCTGTACAAGGTGGCACAAAAGATGCACAAGCCCAGGTCTTGGAAGGTGGCTCCCGTGGACTCTGGGGTGCTAGGCGGGAAGTCTCTGCTGCAGTCTTTCAAGTCTGTGTTGGGCCCTAGCTGGAGGGCTGGCTCCACCCACCCCCGCAGCTGCCCGCCTTCGGCTACACATCTGTGGAGAAGTACAGTGTGTTCCGCTTCAGCTCTGCGAAGGAGATGGGAGGATGCTGCAGGTAGTAGAGTAGGACCTGGACCTGTGGAGACACAAGGAAACTGAGGCTGTGGTCCTCGTGTTCCAGACCCCAGCTTCACCTTCTACGTTGAGAAGAAATGACTCCCGAGCTGCAACCAAGCCTCTGTTGCCCCTGTAACACAACAGGCTTTCTGGCTTCTCCCCACCACCCCGCTTTGGAAGTCCGGTTCCTTCACTCTTTACAGCACTAGAGGGTGCTGCAGAGCCAAGGGTCAGGGAGCCAGCCACTTCATGCCTATGTCAAAAGGGGGCCTGAGATCAGCTTTGAAAGGACAGCCTGTCCTGGTGTTAAAAGTATCCCAGGAGCCAGGCGTTGGTGGCGCACGCCTTTAATCCCAGCACTCGGGAGGCAGAGGCAGGCAGATCTTTGTGAGTTCGAGACCAGCCTGGTCTACAAGAGCTAGTTCCAGGACAGCCTCCAAAGCCACAGAGAAACCCTGTCTCGAAAAACCAAAAAAAAAAAAAAAAAAAAAAAAGTATCCCAGGAGAGCCTGACCCTGAGAGCAGCCCCAGAGCCCCAGCCACAAATCTTGTACACCTCTGAGACTGAGGCACTGTCAGGAAAGCAGCTAGCACCTGGACAGACATTCCTCAGCTCTTGTCTAGACTCACATGGTTTTGGGCTAAGCAGGGAGGATGTCCTGTAACCCTGTACTTGGGCACCCCATATCCCACTAATTCAGCTGCTATGAGGTAGAGGCCTACACAGGCTGGTAGTACCTGGGCCATGACATCATGAGACCAGATATCTGCAGCTGACGTGAGATGTGCTTTGCTCTCCACTTCTGAGGGTCTCAGTAACGTGGGGCCAAACACAGTGGCCAGGTTGTGAAGTGACATCTTGTTGATGGGCTCTTTCTCAGCAACCCTGAGGAAAGGGAGAAACACAAGTCACTTCTCTGCAGCCCCAGGAGCCCTGGGATGCCAGCAGCTTACAGCACCTGAAGATCCCTCAGGCATTAACAGAACAGTCACCCAGCTTCCTTTCCTACAGGTGGGAAGGACATTAGGCTAAGGGATTGGGGTCCCAGCATATTTCTGTAACACACCCCTAGCTCCTAGGCTATGTGCCGAGCTGACAGAAAACTGCCAGGCCAGGACTATCAACAGCATCACCCTTGACTTAGATAAAAATCATTACGATAAGATGCAGAGTACACAAGGTGTGGTGGCACACGCCTTTAATCTCAGCACGAGGGAGGAAGAGGCAGCAGAAATTCTGTAAATTCAAGTTCCAAGATAGCCAGAGCTGTTACACAGAGAAACCTCAGAGAGAGAGAGAGAGAGAAAATACTACTGTTCTAAGAACTCTTCCTATAATACTGTATACTGTCAGTCATTTAGAGGCAAGTACCATTATCATACCCATTGTAGAGGTAAGGAAACCAAGTACAGAGAGATTAGGTG